GTAAACTTTGAATCAAATTGAATGAAAGTTTAAAGGTCCCTGAGAAATATTCAGACTTTCTCTTGCATAAGTAGTGTGGCTTCTTATAAGAAAAAAGTCTAGCCCAGACAGTGTGGCTCAGTGACTGAGAATTGACCTCTGAACCAGATCACAGTTCTATTCTGGGGAGGGTACATGCCTGGGTTGTGGGCTCAATCTCCAGTAGGGGGCGTGCAAGAGGCAGCCGATCAATGACTCTCTCTCATCATTGATGTTTCTATCTCTCTCTCCCTGTCCCTTCCTCTCTCTGAAATCAATAAAAATATATATATTTTTAAAAAAAGTCTAAACACCTCTGAAACGTGTCTAATTTTTCTCTCATTTTTCCTTCTAAATTTTCAAGAAACAGGAGAAAGAAATACCCAGCACATATATTTCTTCTCTTGAATGCCCTGACTTCTAAATTCTCCCTGTTCTATTTGCTCAGAATTGGATTGAGGGAGACAAAAAATACTGTTCTACTTAAAGAAAAAAATTAACAGTTGGGAGGCTTCCAGTCAAGATGGCAGAGTGAGTAAATGCAATACTTGCCTCCTCTCACAACCACATCAAAATTACAACTAGCCTGGCTGGCGTGGCTCAGCAGTTGAGCATTGACCCAGGATACAGGGCACATTCCTGGGTTGTGAACTCAATCCCCAGTAGAGGATGTGTAGGAGGTAGCAGATCAGTGACACTTTCAACATTGATGTTTCTGTCTCTCCCTCCCTTTAGCTTCTTCTCTCTGAAATCAATCAAGTTATATATATATATTTTTTAAAAAGCAAAATTACAACTGAACTACATACCAATCATCATTAAAACTGTCTGAAATCTAGCTGAACAGAGTCCTATAACTAAGGATATAAAGAAGAAGCCACATCAAGACTGACAGGAGGGGTGGAGATGGGGAACAAGCTGGTCCCACACCCACATGTAGTGGATGAAAATCAGAAGGGATATCTCAGCTTCAGAGGTTCCACCTGAGGATCAAGAGGTCCCATTCCCCACACCAGTACCCCCAGCCAGAACAGCAAAAAGAAAAAAGAATCCAAAAAAATGAGGATAGTTTAAGGAGCCTCTGGGACAACTTTAAGATTACCGACATTCACATCATGAGGATGTCAGAAGGAGAAGAGAGATAGAGCAAGGAATTGAAAACTTATATGAAAAAATAATGACTGAAAATTTCCCTAACCTGGTGAAAGAAATAAACATACAAGTCAAGGAAGTGCATAGAGCCCCAAACAAGATGAACCCAAAGAGGCACACACAATACACATCACAATTAAAACACCAAAGGTTAAAGACAAAGAGAAAATTGTCAAAGCAGCAAGAGAAAAGCAGTTAGTTACCTACAAGAGAGCTCCCATGAGACTATCAACTTACTTTTCAACAGAAACTTTGCTGGCCAGAGGGATTGAAATGAAATATTCAAAGTGATGAAAATCAAGGATCTACAGCAAAGCTATCATTTAGAATTGAGAACAGATAAAGAGCTTCCCAGACAAGAAAAAGCTAAGGGAGTTCATCACCACCAAACCAGTATTACAAGAAATGTTAAAGGTTCTTCTTTTTTAAAAAAATACATTTTTATTGATTTCAGAGAGAGAGAGGAAGGGAGAGGGAGAGAGAGATAGAAATATCAAAGATGAGAGAGAGTCATTGATTGGCTGCCTCCTGCACATCCCATACTGGGAATTAAGCCCACAACCCAGGCCTGTGCCCTGACCAGGAATCAAACCATGACCTCCTGGTTCAAAGGTCAATGCTCAACCACAGCAACACCAGCTTGGCAAAGGGTCTTCTTTAATAAGAAAAAAAAAGATTAAAAAGATGAATAAAGTGGCAATAAATACATATCTATCAACAATTACTTCAAATGCAAATGGATTAAATGCTCCAACCAAAAGACATACAGTGGCTGAACAGATAACAAAACAAGACCCTACATATGCTGTCTACAAGAGACTCAGTTCAGATTGAAAGACACACACAGACTAAAAGCAAAGGGATAAAAAAAGATATTTCATGAAAATAGAAACAAAAAAAAGCTGCGGTAGCAATAGCTATACCAGAAAAGATAGACTTTAGAACAAACAAAGAAGGACCCAGCAATTCCACTTCCGGTTATTTATTGGAAGAATCCCAAAACACTAACTCGAAAAGACATATGCATTCTTATGTTCATTGCAGCATTATTTACAACAGCCAAGATATGGAAGCAACTTAAGTGTCCATCAATAGATGAATGGATAAAGAAAAAGTGGTGCATATATACAATAGAATAAGACTCAGTCATAAAAAAGAATGAAATCTTGCTGTGTGCATGGCAACATGGATGGACCTTGAGGGTACTCTGCTGAGTAAAATAATTCAGACAGAGAAAGGCAAATGCCAAATGATTTCACTTATATGTGGAATCCAAAAAATAAAATAAACAAACAAGCAGAATAAAAACAGACTCTTAAATACAGAGAACATTTTGATGGCTGCCAGATAGGACGGGGGGTTGGGGGATGGGTGAAAGGATTGAGAAGTACAAATTGATAGTTACAGAACAGTCATGGGGATGTAAAGTACAGCACAGGGAATGTAGTCAATAATATTCTAATAACTATATATGGTGTCAGATGGGTACTAGATTTATTGGTGTGATCACTTTGTAAGTTATATAAATTTCTTATCACTGGGTTTTACACCTGAAACTAATATAATATTGTACATCAACTGTAACTGAAAAATTAAAAAATTATTAAAAAGAAAAAGTTAACAATTGGTAAGTTCTTTCCTTTTGTTATTAAACAAATACTTATTGAGCACCTACTATCAGCCAGATAGGGAGACAAGCACTTTGTAAGCAAAATCACCCTGATTAGGGTCACTGATGTTACTGATGATCTCTATCTTGGCAAATCTAATAATCAGTTATTTGTTCTCAACTTACTCCCCCTTTTGGTAGCTTTCACCTTCTTTCATTTTTCAGATACTTTCTTCTCCAGGCTTTCTAAGTGCAATTCTCTCCTGGTTTTCCTTTTATCTCCCTGGCCATGCCTTTGCTGTATCTTCTGGCTCCTCTTTCTCCAGAAGCCTAGTTGTTGGACCTTTCTTCTTCTCTATCTACATTCTCATCCTAAGTGATCTCCTCTAATCCTGTGGCTTAGTATCATCTAGGTGCTAATGATCCCAAAATCTATATCTCTAGTCCCCTCTTTACCCTGAACTCTACATTAGATCATATATCCAACTGTCCATGTGATATCTCCATCTGGATGTCCAGCAGGCATCTCAAACAGAGTTATTGATTCCCCCCTCCCAATGACCCCACACCACAGCTGTCCTTCCTTCAGTATTCCCCATTTAGTAAACTGCATCTTTTGCTTGGCCAAAAATCTAAACACTAGAGATTGTGTTTTGCTTCATGTAACAGAATCTAACTGAATGAGAAGGCAGTTATTTTTTTTTTTCACATAAATAGAGGACCGGAGGCAGGCGATAATCACAATGCCTGGGGCTCCTTCTATCTTTTTCTTCACTATCCTGATGGTTGCAAGATGGCAGCTCTTCCTCCAGCCTCACATCCACATTCCAGTGGAAAGAAAAGGAAGGAATTAACAAGGTGGAAGGCATAGAGTCCATACAGAAATAGAAAAACACCCCAGAAATTCCCAGTAAACTTCTTATCTCCCATCGTCCAGAACCGTGTTTCATGCTGCACCTCAGCTGCCAGAGAGGCTGGGCAATGCAGCTTTTTAGCTGGGCACATTGCTGCCCTACATGAATCAGGGATCTGACGTATGGAAGACAGGTAGAGTGGATATCAGATAGGCAACTGCAGTGATACTCTATGATCCTAGACTTGTCTGTTTTCCTACACTTCACTAACAATCTCAGCTAGTGCTATCAGTTCCACCTTCAAAACACTTAACAGATTCAATTCCTTTTCTTCATCTCTCCAAATCCTGGTTTGAGACACCATCAACTCTCACCCAGATCACAGCAACAGCCTCCTAACTGGTCTTCCTCTTCCACTCTTGCCCTGTCTACACTCCTTTCTTAGCACAGTAGAAAGGTAACTGTTTTAAAATATAAATATAAATCAGACCATTCCCTTCCTTAAATTCTACAGAGGATCTGTCACAGTTTGGCTCCCCCCTTTAGCAGACCCCGAGACAAGCATTCGCATGCAAGTCATTTATTTGAGAGGAGCAAGATGCATGGAGTGGGGGGTATGTAGTGAGATAAGGAAGGGAAGGCCGCCCAGAGAAGGTGCAATATCAAGCCAGATTCCCCAACGGCAACAGATGCTTACCCCCAGGGAGGCACTGGGAAATGGTTTAAAATATTTGCCTCAGAATTACGTGACCCAAGGGGCAAGGGAAGGTATTTATACACCAGCCTCCACACATCCCTGCTGCAGCTCTCTTGGCTTGAGCACCTTGTCCTGAATCTATCCCTTCCCTGACCTCACTCACTGAAAAAGCCAGCATTTCTTGTATTTATCAGCCTTCCTGCTTAGAGCTTCTTCCATTTGAAGCAGAATCAGAAGAGGAGGCAATAAAAAAACAAAAACAAAACTCACAAAACTTTGCCAAGAAGAGAATGGGACAGCCGCTTAACTTCTTTAACAGGAAAGAAGCTCAAAATATAATTTAAGGATCATGAACATCTGTCTTAGAAACTTGCTAAGTTCTAGGCTCATTTGAAAGTAGCTAAATTTTTGTGATGCTCCCTAACAACAACAACAAAAAAGCACATAACAGCTTTAATAAGAGGGAAACATCGAGTAGGGCTCCTGAGATTTGGAATATTTATTTAAAGTCAGTATATTAAGGTACACATCATTTAATAACACTAGCAATTAATTATATGTATATTATATCTATCAGTGGCATCACAGTAACCATAGCTCTGGAGGGTATAAATGAATAGTAATTAGCTTTGGATATAGTTATGCCTTTAGATTAGTTTGCTACTTATCTCTATTTTCCTTTCTTCTTCAACTGTTCTACAAAGTAATCATTACAAGCAGCCGTCAGGGCCGCCACCGTGACCACAAATTCTTTAAAATCCACTTCATTGTCCTTACTGGCATCCAGTTCCTGCATTAGCTTATCAACCAGCTGGGAGTCCTTTTGGCACTGAAATGGAAAGGACAGGTCTGACTCCCAGGCTTTGAGACTCATGACAACTGAAACCGCATCTCCCTTTTATCTCTATTGAAATTTTTATTTTCAATTTTTAGCACCTAAGACAATTTCCAAAAGCCTGTTTGCAGGAAGGTTTGAACCAGGCACAGATTCTAAATAAGCCTAGCCCTTTGCCTGAGGGCCATATACTTCTGGCTCAGACACAAAAACCAGGAAGATCGAATGGCAGCTCATCATGAGCTGCTGAAAATGCATTTACTACAGGACCTCACAGGTCAAGCAGGGGTGGCAGGGAGGGAGGCAAGCAGGCAGGCAGGCAGGGAACCTGGAAAGAAGGTTTTGCAGCCAAAAGGGGATAGTGTGAGTGGCTCTGCCATTCACTAATAATGCAACTTTGAGCAAATCACTTAACATTTTTATTTTTTCTTATATATAAAAATGGAAAGAATAATAGCTCCCCACAAACATGAGGGATACTTTAAATGTGCTTAGCACCAGGTTGCTATGTTTAGCAAATAAAAATACAGGACACTTAGTTAAAAGTGAATTTCTGATGAAAATGAATCCTTTTTTAGTACATTGCATGGGACATACAATATTTTATCTGGCAGCTTTCCTCAGCACAATCCCTGAAGCAAAAAAAGAGGCCCCAGGTAACAGGCAGGTCTTATAGAAGGACTGCGGTTATGGATGGAAAGTGAAGCAAGAAGCCACGGAGGAGGGGAGGCCCAGAGAGGGCGGGACTGTGAGGCACCCACTCTTCCTGTGATTGATGGTTATGAGAAATTATTCCTGAGTCATTCGTTTCCTGCAGGACTTCCCCAGTGCCCTCTCATTAGCTGCCAACCATTAAATGGTTGGAAACTTAAACTGAATTGTTCAAAATCAACTTGAACAAAATGATTATAAATTTCACTTGAATAAACCAACGGGCCAAGTTTGACCAAATGAATCTTCTGTTTTAAATGTTACATAATACAGTAGCCAATCTGGGTTTGAAAGAAACCCACAAACCATTCCTGGGGGCTCCTAAAATCACTAAAAAGGTATTGTGAAGAATGACTATATTAATGTACAGCATGTGACTGTCATTAATAATACTGTATTGACTATCCTTAGTGATACTATAATGTTTGAGCATTGCTAAGAGAGTGGATCTTAAAAGTTCTCATAACAAGAGGAAAATTTTTGTAACTATGGATGGTGTCAGATGGTATTGTGGTTATCATTTGATAATACCTACATATTTGAATTATTATGTTGTATACCCAAAACTAATATGTCAATTATACCTCAATCAAAAAAGTTCCAGGAAAAATATAAATTACTATTTGTTCTATCAACGTAATAAAAATAAAATAACATTGTTTTTGGATTACAAAAATAAAGGGTTCCTAAAAATTACTGTTAAAAAAAGTTTGTTTTTTCCCCATAGAGGGTGGGAAGAAGAGTGTTGTAATTATAGTCACTATAGTCTCAATACAGGGTTTGGACAGCATAGTATTGTGCAAGGGCAGTACTTTGTGCTAAAGTCCATTTGAGGCAGCTCCACAGACATCAGAATAAAGTGTTTTCTTCGGAGGAGGCCCCAAACACCACTGTAAGGTTTCATGTGTAGATTTATTAAACTAACCCCTATCTTGAGATGTGATTCAGTTTGCTATCCAGCTGTTAACTGGTCACTGGCCAGACACCCCTTTCCGTCAGTCCCTATCAGCTTGTGCTTGGCTGACAAAGTTCTCTAAGCATTTGTCATTCATTAGAAAATTTGCCACCACAGCATATAGTACCCCAGGCTTCATTTCTGAGCCAATAAACAATATTAATTTACAGACAGCTGGACAAAGCTCCAGGTATAACTTGTGTAACTAGCTATAACTATAGTTATAGTTACTAGTTATAGCTACTATAACTAGCTATATCTTTCTGCACCAGAATGTTGAATTGTCGAGCGTCCCAAATAGAATTTACAGTACTTGGAATACAGGTGATACAGAAAAGGGAGCATATGGATGGATGGACACAGAAAACGAAAGTTTCTCATGTTTACGCCACTGTGTTTTGAATCTCCATATAAATGATACTGTGTCTGTGGCAGAGTGACAGGAGATTATGTACACAGAGGCTGTCCCTGGATGTGCACCTCGCCCACCCTTGACCGAATGGGGTTGAAAAGCCAGGACTCACTGAGAGGAATTCCATGAGCTCTCTCTGCAGGGGCATCTTTAGTTCCCCCTTGCTGAGCTGGAATCTGTCCCCTTCCTTGCAAGAGCACCAGTGGAAGATTCTAATCATGGTGTCCATGGCCGTCTCCAGCTGGGTGGGGGATGCTGGGGGCAGAATGGACCACTCCAGGGAAGGCCACCAAACTCAGGGACCTGTTCAAAATAAACAGGCAGGGCAACCCAGACCCTTTCACTAAAACAGAAGGGTGTTGCATGTCCAGACAACAAATACAGAGCCATAGTAAAACAGCTTAAAAATAAACAAAGAGAGGAAGAAAATACCGAACTTTGTACCTGTTCAGCCAAGGCACAGCTCTGTCAACAGGTGTTTACAATTAAATTATACACATTTATACAGAGGGTTCCACCTCCGAACACCTGTTCCCAGGAAGATGAAAATACCCGAGGCTAGAGATTCAAATGGCAGTGCCTCTGTGCCCTGTAATCACCAGAAGGAACAGGTGTGTGCTGCTGCTCCGAGGGCCGAGGGAAGGGCTGGTGCCTACTGTGCCCATTAGATGGCAGGCAGAGAGGGGGAACAGAAGCCTTCAGTGACCCCTCACTATAGGGAGTAGAAATGCAGTCAGTTGCTAGGAAGTTGGTGGCAGGAGCAGGGATACTGATATAAACCTGGAGACTGCTCAGCAAAGCCAATAGCAAGGTCAAGGGAATAAACTCAGAGCAGACTCGTTAAACTGACCCAATGGTTAGTTGTGCAGCTATAAAAATAAAAGAGCTCTGTGTGTTGATCTAGAAAGGCACAAAGTGGGACCCCAGCTGCATAAGAGATAGAAATAGAATGCACACGTGTATGTACTTGGCACTTGAACAAGAAGTCACTGAAAGGATACATAAGAAATAATAAAAGTGGTAGCTGTAAGGGGCAAGGGGGAAGAGGGTGGTAAAGAGTGGCTGGGAGGAAGAGTCCTTAATACACCCTTTTGACTGATTTTAAGGTCTTCAGTTATAGGACTGTATTGCCTAGTTACTGCATTGGAATCGATAAAGCCCAGAGCCTCTGGGTATGCAGGAATCCATGGGGTGGGTGTG